CTTAAGAGAGTATCTACTTCTTGTTCCATTACCAGAGTCTGCTCGGGACCCACCAAGGTGGGAAGAACCCCGTTGAAGGGAGAAGGAGGAGAACCAAACTGGATTCTGTAACCCCTTTCTACAGTATGCAGGACCCACTGAGACACGTTTGGCAGTAGTTTCCACGCTGCTATATAGTGTACTAAGGGAATCAGTCTCTCGAGACTGACCTCTGGTGTAACTGAAGCAGCTAGCTCGGTGGCCTGAAGTGGCACACCGGCAGGGGACGGCCGAACTAACTGCTCTAGAGACCTCCGTGGAGGCGGTGAGCCTCTTAGCACCGCTACGTTTCTGGGCAGTAACTGAGAGAAGTGCTCGCGGGAGAACGCTGGGGGTCATTACGTTACCCGCCCGTGGCATCTCGCCCATCTATTGGACTGATTACACATGTGATTCAGAGCGTGGTCACGCTGAAGGTGTTCCCTTAGCGTTTCAATGCAGCTCGAGTTCCTGAAGGGGAACAGAAGAGTTACTATGTTTAAGGTTTCCATCTTTATAATTAAATAATATCTACTTATAAATAATATAAATAATATCTACAATTAAACAATATCTAATTTATTACCTAATTTAATGAATTAACTTTCATACACTACTGTTTAAAAGTCTGGTGTCATTTAGACTTAAATTTTTAACAGAAATGAATTATTTTATTCAGCAAGCCTGCATTAAACTAATCAAATAAATGCTGTTCTTTTGAACTTTCCATTAATCAAAGAATACTGAAAAAAAAAATGTCACACAAGAAATTATGCAGCACAACTGTTTTCAACATTGATAATAACACATTTTTCTCAAGCAGCAAATCAGCAGATTCGAATGATTTCTGAAGGATCATGTGACATTGAAGACTGGAGTAATGGCTGCTGAAAATTCAGCTTTGCCATCACAGGAATAAAGTAATTCAATATGATATACATTTTTCTATTCAGTTTACTAGGGCACACACGCCAATTAGAAAGATGCTACACAGTATTCATCATTAAGTGGAGTGAAATTTTATAATTATCTCATACTAGGCACAACTAAGACAGACGCTTCAGCATTTTTGCCCCTGGTCAGAAGAGCATCTTTGAAAAATTTATCAATTTTCCACATTGTTTGCTTCTCAAGAGTCCCCGTGAGAATTCAGTGAAATCACTGGAACTCATTATGTTAATTCATGAAGCAGATTCCCACCGATGCTTTTTAACATTCTACAAAAATCACAATAAAAGTTTACAAGTCCACCAAAGCAACCATCCATAACAGAGAGAATGTGTGTCGCTTTCGAGTGCTGACAGTAACAATAGCTCAGCCCGTTAGCAATAATAGCTTTGCATCCATATCAATTCTCTGTCACCTGGCTGGAGATATTCCACTGGGAAACAAATGATTCACTTTGTGCAGTGATAGCCTTACTGTGCAATTTTCACACCTCACTGTGCTTACATGGATGCACACCAATATGAAAAAAAATTTTATTTGCACATTGAGCATTGCAAAAATGATTATAGTCTCTCTCTCTCTCTCTCTCTTTCTCAGTGGGACGGACATTTTTTTCTTTAGAATGTCTCTAACTTCAGATAAGTGTATTCATCTGATGCAGCATTCACTGTTAAAGGGGTCATATGATGCTATTTTAAAGATCATTATTTGGTGTATTTGGTGTAACAGAATATGTTGACATGCTTTAATGTTCAAAAAACACATAATTTTTCAAATACTGTGCATTATTGTAGGTCCTCTATGCCACGCCTCTCTCAAACATGTCATTTTCAACAAAGCTCCCTCCTTTGACAAGCACAGTCTGCTCTGATTGGCCAGCTGACCCAGTGCATTGTGATTGGCCGAACACCACAAGCACACGTCGGAAATGTAACGCCCCTTACCATAATCACGAGCTTCAGCTTTCAAAGTACCTATCAAGACAGTTAATAATGTCATTAGTTTTACCATCAGTTCAAGCCCGAAAGGGCAACAGAGTCGCGTGACAGACACAGTGATGATGCAGTACACAAGCCGCGGTTAACCCTTTAGGTGCAAGGGTTTTTTGGAAAAAATGCTGGATTTTGACATCAAGATTTCAAAAGCTTGTGGCTTGAAAGGGCTTAAAGATAGAGATCTACTGTAAATTAGAAAAATGTTGGGCATGACCGAAAGTTTACTTGGTGTAAATATACTCATCTAATTTGTATATTATGACGTCATCAGGGGCGGCCATCTTGAATTTCATAATATTCAGGAAATAAGATATTGAATTAATGTTTGAACTTATTTGCATGTTTTTTTGTCTTTTTATCCTCATTCCAAATGATCAGAAAAGAGGAAACCAACAATAAAACAGGAGAAAGTACTAAATTATTACTATATTACAATACTATATAGTAGTAAAACACATGTGAACAGTAGCCTACTTTTTGATCAGT